GTGATGAACGCATGTTTATACCCATGCTTTTTAAGTGGCCATTCCAGCTTCATGGTGATAAAAGTGAAGTGGAAAGCACACATCAAAGACAGGAAGAATCTTGTTGTTCGTATCTTAAGTGGTTTTGTGGTCCCTCATCTCTAACTAATTACACCTACCTACTGAAAAAGTTTCACAGTCCTATTGAATGTGGGTTTTATCTGCTACCGTCTTAAAAGTCTCCGAAACGAAGAATTAACAAACGGTAAGTGCATGCCCTCCTTGCGAAATCACGGTTATCACATCAAGAACAAACAATCAAGGAAAAAAAAAACGATAAACACGAAATCATCGACGATTTCACTTAATTCTTAGGGGCAAACCTTCCCTTAATTTTCTCCACCTCCTTAGTCCCAATCTGAAACGCCTTCGTCAGCACGTGATCAGGCACAGCGGGCGACGCAGAAAACAGCGTCGCAGCGATAGACTGCGTCCCTGGAAACTGACTGTCAAATGCTGCAACCACCGACGCAGGCCCATTTCCACTGTTCTTTTGGAAATGCACCAATGCCTTTGGAAACACGAAGACTTCGCCCTTGGTGATGGTTTTCGCTATGAGTTTGTTTGCTGTGGTGATGAATCCCACGTCGAGCTGGCCCTCGAGGACGAACACCATCTCGGTCGCTCGAGGGTGAGTGTGAGGGGGGTTGAGGCCGCCCAAGGCATAGTCTATGCGAGACATGGAGACTCCCATGGTGTTGAGGCCTGGGATTTTCTCGACGTTGGCGCCCGTGACGAGGGAGCCCATCGTGTTGTTTGTGGGCCCAGGGTTGGAGATGCCCGTGAATGAGAAGTCAGAGGCAGAGATTGCATCCGCAGGCTTGCATGGGTAGCCGTTTACTTTGATTCCTGCAGAAAATTACGTGTAAATTCGATGGCATGCACCCGGAGACGTGAGAGGTGAAACAAACACTGAAAACAAGAGTTACCGGAGGTGAGATCGGCGACGCAGAGGTCCTGGAGCATGTCGGGGTCGGCGGCGAGGGAGAGGGAGAACAGGAGGAGGGGGGAGAAGAGAACAAGGAGAGAGGTCTTGTTCATTTTTATTCTTATTTTTGTTGGATGAATGAATGAATGAATGAGAGAGGATGAATTTAGAGAAGAGAAGAATGATGGTATTTATAAGGGGGGTTGGGTGGGGAGGGAAGGTGTGGTGATGTGGGAGTAAAGGCATGACAATATAGGTCTTGCAAACAAAGTGAATGCGAACTGTGGGGGAAATAATAATAATAATAAATCAAAGGAAAAAACCTATGGTTTTTCTTATAATTTGTCAAAGAATTCCTTGCTATATTCATTTGTCAAATAGTTTTTCTTATAATTTTTGCTAATTTCAATGAAGTAACAGAATTACTCACAGACAATGATAAAAAAAAGACAAAACTGGTTATTATACTAGCGCAATAAATTTATCTAGTGCACCTACAAGAATTTTACATGTTTACGTCAAGAACTTTTATCCAATTCTAAGAGTTTATTTCAGGTGCGTTGCGATAATGTCATCACCTTGTCAAATGAGGCATTATACTCATTTGGGCCGAGTCTTTTCTTGTCTCAAGCCGCTAGACTCAGTCAATAAAATTAAATAATAAGTAAAGAACTCAGAAATTAAATTGAATGTTTTACATTATTTGCTTCATTTTTTATCGTTTTCATTAAATATTTAACTAATTTTTTGTTTTATTCTAATATGATAATATAGTTTCATTAAATATATGTTTTACATTATTTGTCTTCTTCCTTTTTTTCCGGAGGGTCAGTAGTCACCGTAGCATAACCATGAAGTAAAGTACTGAAAACTTACAATACATCCACCAAAAGCCTAGCAAGAAGTTTTGCTCAGATTGATGTGCCCTTTTAACTTATACTTTGTTGCATTTTATTTTATTTTTGTTACTTTTTTTTTCTGGGTACAGATTGGTGTGCATCTTTTTACAGTGAATTTCTTTTAATCACAGGCAATGATAAGTGTTTTTTAAAATAATACCATGATATTTCTATCCAATAACATACTGTTTATACTTTTGAGCAAAATAATGAATTTGCATAAAATAATAAGTGAAAAAATAGATAAAGAATTTAAAACAAATTCTTCCTACAAAAATGGATTTCCATGTAGATCTTAAGCTCTAGGTTTGTGATTTATCTCTTCTATTAGAAATTTGATCTGCAATCTAGTATATATTAAAAGGTGGCAAGTTTGTTTCTATGTATATATAGCCGTCAACCGACGCAAAGATGCACACATATAACGCAGAAGAATCAAATGGTTGAAAAAATCAATGTTTGGTTCCATTTCTAGATAGAAATCTATAGTTTTATCCTCTATAAATGATCTTAATCTTTTAGAGGAAAGCAGGGTATTATCTGCATCTGAATTTAACCTAAGGCTCAACCTTAAAGAGCAGCTCTTCACTTTAGCTAGAGCAGAAGAAACTAAATGGAAACAAAAATCAAGAATTCAATGGCTCAAAGAAGGGGATAATAATACTGCTTTCTTCCATAGATCTGCCTCTTTTCACAGAAGAAAAAATTACATTCCTCATCTTATTTCTAACAACACTATCATCTCCTCAGAGACAGATATCAAGCAGTCTTTTTATGACCATTCCTCATCTTATTTCTAACAACACTATCATCTCCTCAGAGACAGATATCAAGCAGTCTTTTTATGACTTTTTCTCAGATCTCTTCAAACAACACTATCATCTCCTCAGAGACAGATATCAAGCAGTCTTTTTATGACTTTTTCTCAGATCTCTTCAATGCCCATAGTGTCTCTAACCTTCTGGTTAACTGGGAAATGTTATATCCTGTTCCTTCCCCAAATCTCTCCTCTCTCGATCCTATTTTCACCCCAGAAGAAATCAAGAGGGCAGTCTTTGATTTGCACCCAGACAAATCTCCCGGACCTGATGGTCTCCCTATGTTTTTCTTCCATACCTTCTGGAATGACTTGCAACTGGATATCATCTCCTTCATCCAATCACTCCATTCTAATGCCCATCTGCTGCATAACTTCAACTACTCTTTCATCTGCCTAATCCCCAAGAAGGATGGTGCAGATATCCCAAAAGACTTCAGACCCATCAGCCTCATCAATAGCTCCGTCAAAATCTTTTCTAAAGTGTTGGCTAACAGACTCAAACCACTCTTATCCTCCCTTATCGACTCATCCCAATCAGCTTTTTAGAGTGGCAAGTCAGCTTTAGATTCCATTCTCCTTGCTCACGAGACGATCAACCATTGCTTTTCAGGTAAAAAAGAGATGTGTGCCATCAAAGTTGATTTCTTCAAAGCTTTTGATTATGTCAATTGGAATTTCCTCTCCTCTCTTCTTCTTGCTAGAGGTTTCAGTCCCTCTTGGTGTCATTGGATTCACTGCATCCTTTCATCCTCCAAAGCAGCTGTCTTAGTCAACGGATCCCCTACCAAA